ATATCTGTAAATTGATTTAGTAAAGAGAATTGATAAATAGGAGAAATTGTTAAGTATGGATCATAAGTTATATATATATTAGACCCCATTTTCATTTTTGGTTGTTGTTTAGATGTTACGAGATGTTATTACTCGTTAACACACTATGATTTTTCTATGTTTATTGCTATAAAGTTTATCGTCGTTTTAAAAAAACTTCAATTTATATAATTAATTCATTACATGTTACGGTATAAGGACATTTTTTTTCCGGCTCGTCCTAGGCATTTGAATCCCCAGGGCCGGCCCTGCATATTATGCTCGAAAATAAGTATTTTTTTTCAAACACCACATGATTTTCGATGTATAGTTATGTGACTACAACTATAATACAAATTACGATGATACCGCCTTAACAAATAGAAAACAACGAATGTCAGATACTATGAAAAATAAACGAAAGTAATTCATAAGTCGATATATTAAACACATATGTTGCACATTTTATTTATTAATGCATTCTTACAATTCACCTTATTTTTCCCTCAAAACATCAACGTAGCTCATAAATAGCAACAGAGCCATAAATTTTACATAAGAGGGACGAATTCTATTAATTATGAATAGTGTAGGGGGCACCGGTGAACTTAGCCAATATTAGGAGTTCGAATAACGACCCCACTAGAGTTCACCCACACCCACACACGGTCGCACCGGAAATCCCTAGGCGTCGGAGTTCCGTCCAGTATCACCATCGCGTCGACACGTGGATTCTCTCTTTCAATCGTCACCGCTGCAGCTTCTCCGTTCGCTCCCACCAGCTCCGGCCATGAACTCTTTCCTGTATCCAATATCCAATATCCAAACAGAAACTTGTTTAGTTCATCTTCACCTTTCACACCCATTCATTATATAAAAATTTGATCGAATCATATGAAATCAAAATATAAATAAAATTAAAATAGAATCCATTACCTTCGCAATCCGACATTGTTAGATGAGCAGTGAAGACATCGAATTCGAATGTGAGGTATAAATAGAGGTAAAGGCTTTAGAGAAGTGGTGGATTAGAAGTCGTACCTTGTGCAGCATGAGTTGTACCCTTTTGCTTTTTCAACATTTCCCGGTTGAGTAGGCAAAATTCAAAATTGTCACTTTTGTTGAATTGTTGAAATTGAAAACCGTGACAAAACGGCCATTTTTGCTGACTTTCAAAATTTGGGAATTCCGGTAATCCCTATCTGATTAAGTTACAATGAATAGTTGAATCATAATTTTACAATTATAGTAATAAATCTGAAGCTGTTTTAAGATTCTCGATCAAAAAGAAAGACTCTGTGTGCAAATGTCATAATCATTCTACATATGACATAAGCCTGATACTAAGATATGGAGAACACTGGATAAAACAAAAAAAAAACATGACTATCTTTTAAAGAATATACAAACTAAAAAATAAATTTTTTTAATCGTATAAACATACAGCTACATGGAACACTGAACAAGATAAAGGCTTTCATAACTTGGTTCCAACTTTTCTTGATGGCCATTCATCAATCTCCACTTCTTTTGTGTCGATTCTCGAAAAATTAAGCCATTCCAGCATGCGTGTGAAAACATCAATTAATGTGTCAAGTGGTTTTTCAGCTGTGATTTATACATATTATATGACATTTAAGGGGTGTTTTATAATAATGCTATTGGTCTGAAGACTTAATTATGGTTTCCAAGATTGAGTAATAAGGAAAAAGAAAATTAATCATGGTATAAAAATTAAAAATAAATAACGCTAAATGCATGAAATAGTAAGGTATTTTCATTTTTTTTTTGTGTAATACAGCTTCCTATTTTCATTTCTTTCTATTGTAACATTGTACTTTCAACTTTTTTTCTTAAAGTTAAATATGAGAAATAGCAATGTACTTTCTATGATTTGCCAATTATAGAATCGTACTCTCATGTCTTCCTATTACAGTATTGCACTTTGAGAAACTACCAAATTATAGCAACATCATCTTAATTCAAAAGAATTTTCATTGGAAAAAAATGGAAGTACAATTTTGAAGAAAGAAATGAAAGTAGGATGCTATAATAAACAAATAAATAAAAGTATGTTACTAATGATTGCATTTAACCCCCTCTCCATGTGTATTTAATCCCATTTCGATGGAATCTTTAATGTCGATGAGGCCGAATAGAAGTTCCAAAGACAACTTTCTAGCCATGAAATTAACAGAAAGTCTCTTCGGCATTTCATCGAACATGTGGTGGAAAGGAGTGAAAGAAACAAAAACCCACGAGCGAAATCAATGCACTTCTAAGGTCTAGCCAATAACAGTAATGTAATTTGAGGGACTACCAACAATATAGCATTGTACTTTCTGACATGAATTATAAAAGTTTCTCTATACCAGTAAAATCCACTTGACAATTCTAAATGTTAGAGATTTTTTAAAAGTTTTGATGAACAACTAGTTGAAACAAGCATTGAGGTAAATCTTTTACGTAATATCTTGTCTTTAAAAATCAATGGTAGATTATATACCCTAAGTAACTTAGCGATGAACATATATTTGATTTGGAGTAACAAATTAGTATTCCACGAAATAGCCCCATTAATGAGACAATTCATATTTCCCTTATTTTTTTACAGAGTATATTAGGACTCTTAACATGCAAAAACTGGTGGCCAGTATATCATTTTTGAACAGACAATGAACATTGAAGGTATTATGTGTACAAACGTAATAGTTTTTTGTACTTATTAAACTTGAATGGTGTTTTGTGAATAGTTTTAATATTTTGTTATCCTCCAAAGTCATTTACCCAACTTAAATTTTTTAACGGATATATTTGGACCCTAACCTGCAACAACCGGTGACCATTAGGTCATTTTTGAACAAACATTGAACTTTGATGGCATTATGTATTCCTCCCAAGTTATTTTCCATATTATATATTGAAAGTAGGCTGCTATTATGAGTAAAACTTTAAGTACGATGTTACAATTGGGAAGAGACTGAAAAAAGGTTGTTATTGTCATTATTTTCTAACGATGTTAATCATAAGAAATTATGATGTAACGTAAAATCATGGGGATAGCCCATGTAAAACAAATCATACAAGGACTACACGTGATATATTTATAAATGTAACGTCCCAAAAATATAGAGTAAAATTTTCATTTTTAAACATAATAAAACCATTCAAATACCATTTCCTCAAAAGATAATCAAAGTAATATGTTATTGTTTCAAAACATCATAGTGAAAATCATAAAAGCAAATAGTGTGGAATCTCCAGTGGATGTGATGCAATCAAGCCTGACTCTTCCCCTTGCTACAAGAAGTACATAAAATATTCAAACTTAAAACCGTAAACACAAAAATTAGTGAGTTCCCCAAAATACCACATACCATACAAGTAACGACCTATTTTAGCCAATGGGCATGTTTCAACCCAACTGTCTATTTCAACCAAAGACCTATTTCAGTCAACGAGTATGTTTCAATACAACAGTCTATTTCAACCAACGACCTGTTTCAGCCATGTGAATGTTATGATCCAACCATAGGCTTACGGTCATTTTCGTTGCTACATCCCAGTTGCAGTCTGTCATGTCATGATTCAACCATGGTATTTCATGCAATTCAAAAAGACAAACAACATACAATGACATCTAGTGTCCTATATAGTATAGTGAGAAGACCCACCTGAACTAAACCACAGAAGCTCAACAGCAACCTTAACAACAGACCAGCGAACTGTAACGCTCGATATTCTCCAAGGTATTATACACACACACACACACACACACACACACATATATATATATATATATATATATATATATATATATATATATATATATATGTATGTTGGGTTAATTAATTGAATTGGTTTGGGCTTGGACCTATTGGGCCCTTATGATTGGGCTGAGGAGTGTCGTACGTGGGGCGTATCACCCTAAGTACGTGCAGCGTACTCATGAAATATGAATGCAGATGCCATGCGCGTACGTGTAGCCTACCAAAGGGTATGCGCAGCGCACGCATGCAGTCCCCAAAACCTTAAAATTTAGGGATGATCCCTATATAAAGAACATTATACCCTAAAGCCCAGACACCCTCTCATCCTTAAGCTACTCCCATGAAACCCTAATCCATACTTTGTGTGTTCTTGTTCTTGGAAGGCATTTTGAGAGCATTTTGGTGTTTTGGATCCATTCCCCAAGGAAGTAAAGGTCAAGGTAATGTGGTGGTACAAAGGAGAAGTTGTAGATCTGGGATTGTTGCATCATTTCAGACCTTTCCAAGGTATAAAGTCTTGAACTTGATCCTTGAGTGCTTAGATCTCTTATGTTGAGTTTTTGGACATTTTTGGTCCTAAGAATGGAGCTTTATGGTTCCAAATCCATTTCTAGGTTTGGGTTGCCACCCTTAGTGCTATTTGAGTCCTAAAGACAGAAAAGTTATCATCTTGAAGATCTTGATGTGGTCATGCATGAGTATTCGTCATTTCTATGGAAGTAGATTGTCATATTTCAAGTTTGGGTCTATTTGGGGGTTTGCAAGCCACCAAGTAATCAACTTTATGGGTTAAGACACTTTATTAGACTCAGATCTGTGTTTGGAGCTTTAGGTCTTAAGGGGTTAAGCTCTTTTTGATATTATGGCTTAACAGGGGAGTACGTTGAGCGTACAAGCTAGTACGCGTAGCGTACAAGCCATGCATCCTGTACGTTTAGCGTACAGAGGAGTACGCCCCGCGTACGCACTGGATTTGGGCTTTGCATCATATGGGCCTCAGTTTGGGCCATTCCTTGGACTTTACTATTTTGGGCCTTAGTGTGCCATTTGGAATTAAACCTTTGGACTAGAGAAGCATTATTGGGCCTTAGGTTGAGGTCCATGTAAAGAGATTGGGCCCAATTGGAAATTGGGCCATATATTGGGCCTTGTAGGAGTGTTTATCTTTTTGGGCTAAGGGTTGAGTAGAGTTCCCTTTGGGACAAGGGTATATGAGGGGTAGAATGGTCTTTTACCCCAGTGAGGATTTATGGTTAAATTTTGAGGATCCCGAACTTAACTAGTTTATATGTTGATTAGTAGCTCAAGGAGTCGAGAGATCAGCAGTTCGGGGATCTTTCAGCTAGCAGCCAGAGGATTATCCGTGAGATTCAGCTTTGCGAGGTGAGTTTCCTCCTATAGGAACGGGTCGAAGGCAGCAATGCCAGCCCGTATGTATGATTATATGTTTCCGGATTTCCCGATGAATGTTTATATGCTTTCCATACTACTGTCCGATGTCGGGCGATGCCGGAGGAATGTTTGTATGCTTGATGTCTTCGTGATTCTCGCATGTTTCTGTATTTTTATTTTTCCGGATTACGGTCCGATGTCGGGCAGTGCCCGAGGAATGTTAGTATGTTTCCGGATTTCGGTCTGATGCTAGGCGGGGCCCGAGGAATGTTTATATGTTTATGTTATGTGAATATTTTATGTGTATTTGTTGTTATGTTATTATGTATACCGAGCTTTTCTCAATGTCAGGCGGGGCCCGATGCCAGACATTGTCCAATGCCGGGCGGGGCCCACGATATGTTTATATGTGATTATGTGCTTATGTGTATGGTATGTGGTAGTTTGGGGAGACTCACTAAGCTTCGTGCTTATAGTTTGTAGTTTTGGTTTCAGGTACATCTGGTAGCAAAGGGAAGAGCTCGGGATGACTGCAGTGCACACACCATTATGTTTAGCCTGGGATGATCAATTTGATGTTTCGATTTGAAAACTCTGATAATAATGTTTTTGAGATAGTTTGACTTATGTTTTCGATGAAGTGTTTTGATAACTATGGTTTTATTTAATGATTTAAAACAAAGTTTTTGGTCATGATTTTTGGGATGTTACAAATTGGTATCAGAGCCTTGGTTTGAGGGATTCGGGCACACTCTGGGGTGTGTCTGGACTCAAACTGAGGACTTGGTATAAATTTTTTTAA